CTATACTAAATATTTCACGATTCCATTTCAATGTTTCCAATTGCATTGTTATATTGAATTTTCATAGGTTTCAATTTATTTTCATTTTGATTTAATTATTTCGTGTGACATTGCGTTGGAATTGAGCTGTGTCGTTTACCATAGCGTTCATTTAGTGAGTATAGTATATTCGGAACAGTTAGCCTCTCTCCAGCTTCATCCCGACAGTCCCTTTATATGTTTGGCTGGGCTGCGGCCGCACTCTTTCCCCTTTCCGCCCCTCCTCTGACGAGCATTGGCCATTTCCGCCAAGGGGAGCTGAAGCCTTTTGACCTCCCCCTCCCCTCTCTCCCCTCCCGCCATGCCTTTGCTGTCTATGGCGGGGCACCACCTGCGCCATCCCTCAGCCACCTCCCCCCACCCTTAAGCCAGCCTACCCCCGGCCAGCCCAGTGGAGCTCCAGAGGAGGCGGAGGCGTAGTATCTCCTCAGCCCAGCCGGCCACGCACACTCTCCACCACCCCTCACAGCGAGCCAGCTATGGCCTTGCCAAGGCAGCTCCGACGGGGCAGTGGCGGCAATGTCAGCCTGAGGTGCAGCGGGATTGGGGCCGCCCCGGTGTGCCCCATGAGGCGGCACACTGAGGACTTCTCTTCCAACATCCTGGACGTCTCACTCTCCCGGGCCACCGACTTGGGGGAGCCTGAGCGCATCTCCGAGGAGATGCTTAACAACTTCCGCGAGGCCGACAGCCCCGGCGCTGTCTCCCCCAACCAACCTCGCCTTGTCAGCCCCGAGTCCTGACCAACGGCAGCACCCACCCGCCACCCCACTACACCCAGACTGGGCCACAGCAACGCGTAGCCAGGTACAGCTAGTTTAGAAATAATATACAAGGGTTCCATACTAATCCAGAAAAAGCACTAATGGATTTTGTTTGATGGGCACTATCTTATTTCTGATACTCATAATTTCCCAGAAAGTTTTATCAAGAAACTACATATTCCTATTTAGGAAATAATGATAAATTTAAAAAGGTTGACTCTATCTACATCAGTTTGAATATAATCCACAAACCACTGCCTTGAACTATTCATGTTATGGATATGGTATATATGCATATATTGTGCAAAGTTGTGTATGAGAGAGAAAATGTGTGAGAGCTCCATTTATGGGTTTACATAGAAAAGAACCAGACACACAAAAAAAGAATTATTTAATACAAGGCTGGGCCATATTTTGAATGTACTGTATATCTTTGGTTAAATTTCTCTGTGAGAGTTTATTGTGAATATTTGTTTATAAAACGCAATAAAGAATTTTAAAATGTTATACGTGTACCAATAGTAGAAGAATGGGTGGTGTTGGAGATCATCAATAGTCTTCATAGCTCCTTGTTTAATTAGGGGAAATGGATTGTGGAATTTTTGTTTTTATTTAAAAGTCTCATTATTGAATTGAATTGAATTTATTGCACTTATATGCCGCCCTTTTCCCCGGAGGGGACTCAGGGTGGCTCACAATCCAAGTCAGGGAAGGGGATACAGATAAGGGATAAAAAGACAAACAAAACAATACACAATTTAAAAGCACACAACAACCAGACCATTCGAGCGGGGGGTGGGGGGGCAAAAGCTCTTTAGCTCCAGGCCTGTCGGAACAGCCAGGTTTTAAGGGCTTTGTGGAAGGCCTGGAGGGTGCTGAGGGTTCGAATCTCCACGGGGA